ACATGTTATTGCTTATATTCTCCAGCAAGATAACATGTTATTGCTTATATTCTCCAGCAAGATAACATGTTATTGCTTACATTCTCCAGAAAGATAACATGTTATTGCTTACATTCTCCAGCAAGATAACATGTTATTGCTTACATTCTCCAGCAAGATAACATGTTATTGCTTACATTCTCCAGCAAGATAACATGTTATTGGTTACATTTTCCAGCAAGATAACATGTTATTGGTTACATTCTCCAGCAAGATAACATGTTATTGCTTACATTCTCCAGCAAGATAACATGTTATTGGTTACATTCTCCAGCAAGATAACATGTTATTGGTTACATTCTCCAGCAAGATAACATGTTATTCTTTACATTCTCCAGCAAGATAACATGTTATTGCTTACATTCTCCAGAAAGATAACATGTTATTCTTTACATTCTCCAGCAAGATAACATGTTATTGCTTACATTCTCCAGAAAGATAACATGTTATTCTTTACATTCTCCAGCAAGATAACATGTTATTGCTTACATTCTCCAGCAAGATAACATGTTATTCTTTACATTCTCCAGCAAGATAACATGTTATTCTTTACATTCTCCAGCAAGATAACATGTTATTGCTTACATTCTCCAGCAAGATAACATGTTATTCTTTACATTCTCCAGCAAGATAACATGTTATTGGTTACATTCTCCAGCAAGATAACATGTTATTCTTTACATTCTCCAGCAAGATAACATGTTATTGGTTACATTCTCCAGAAAGATAACATGTTATTCTTTACATTCTCCAGCAAGATAACATGTTATTCTTTACATTCTCCAGAAAGATAACATGTTATTCTTTACATTCTCCAGCAAGATAACATGTTATTGCTTACATTCTCCAGCAAGATAACATGTTATTCTTTACATTCTCCAGCAAGATAACATGTTATTCTTTACATTCTCCAGCAAGATAACATGTTATTCTTTACATTCTCCAGCAAGATAACATGTTATTGGTTACATTCTCCAGCAAGATAACATGTTATTCTTTACATTCTCCAGCAAGATAACATGTTATTGGTTACATTCTCCAGCAAGATAACATGTTATTGGTTACATTCTCCAGTAAGATAACATGTTATTGGTTACATTCTCCAGCAACATAACATGTTATTGGTTACATTCTCCAGCAAGATAACATGTTATTGGTTACATTCTCCAGCAAGATAACATGTTATTGCTTACATTCTCCAGCAAGATAACATGTTATTGCTTATATTCTCCAGCAAGATAACATGTTATTGGTTACATTCTCCAGCAAGATAACATGTTATTGCTTACATTCTCCAGCAAGATAACATGTTATTGCTTATATTCTCCAGCAAGATAACATGTTATTGCTTATATTCTCCAGCAAGATAACATGTTATTGGTTACATTCTCCAGCAAGATAACATGTTATTGCTTATATTCTCCAGCAAGATAACATGTTATTGCTTATATTCTCCAGCAAGATAACATGTTATTGCTTACATTCTCCAGAAAGATAACATGTTATTGCTTACATTCTCCAGCAAGATAACATGTTATTGCTTACATTCTCCAGCAAGATAACATGTTATTGCTTACATTCTCCAGCAAGATAACATGTTATTGGTTACATTTTCCAGCAAGATAACATGTTATTGGTTACATTCTCCAGCAAGATAACATGTTATTGCTTACATTCTCCAGCAAGATAACATGTTATTGGTTACATTCTCCAGCAAGATAACATGTTATTGGTTACATTCTCCAGCAAGATAACATGTTATTCTTTACATTCTCCAGCAAGATAACATGTTATTGCTTACATTCTCCAGAAAGATAACATGTTATTCTTTACATTCTCCAGCAAGATAACATGTTATTGCTTACATTCTCCAGAAAGATAACATGTTATTCTTTACATTCTCCAGCAAGATAACATGTTATTGCTTACATTCTCCAGCAAGATAACATGTTATTCTTTACATTCTCCAGCAAGATAACATGTTATTCTTTACATTCTCCAGCAAGATAACATGTTATTGCTTACATTCTCCAGCAAGATAACATGTTATTCTTTACATTCTCCAGCAAGATAACATGTTATTGTTTACATTCTCCAGCAAGATAACATGTTATTCTTTACATTCTCCAGCAAGATAACATGTTATTGGTTACATTCTCCAGAAAGATAACATGTTATTCTTTACATTCTCCAGCAAGATAACATGTTATTCTTTACATTCTCCAGAAAGATAACATGTTATTCTTTACATTCTCCAGCAAGATAACATGTTATTGCTTACATTCTCCAGCAAGATAACATGTTATTCTTTACATTCTCCAGCAAGATAACATGTTATTCTTTACATTCTCCAGCAAGATAACATGTTATTCTTTACATTCTCCAGCAAGATAACATGTTATTGGTTACATTCTCCAGAAAGATAACATGTTATTCTTTACATTCTCCAGCAAGATAACATGTTATTCTTTACATTCTCCAGCAAGAAAACATGTTATTGCTTACATTCTCCAGCAAGATAACATGTTATTCTTTACATTCTCCAGCAAGATAACATGTTATTCTTTACATTCTCCAGCAAGATAACATGTTATTCTTTACATTCTCCAGCAAGATAACATGTTATTGGTTACATTCTCCAGAAAGATAACATGTTATTCTTTACATTCTCCAGCAAGATAACATGTTATTCTTTACATTCTCCAGAAAGATAACATGTTATTCTTTACATTCTCCAGCAAGATAACATGTTATTCTTTACATTCTCCAGAAAGATAACATGTTATTCTTTACATTCTCCAGCAAGATAACATGTTATTCTATACATTCTCCAGCAAGATAACATGTTATTGTTTACATTCTCCAGAAAGATAACATGTTATTCTTTAAATTCTCCAGCAAGATAACATGTTATTCTTTACATTCTCCAGCAAGATAACATGTTATTGGTTACATTCTCCAGAAAGATAACATGTTATTGTTTACATTCTCCAGCAAGATAACATGTTATTGGTTACATTCTCCAGAAAGATAACATGTTATTCTTTACATTCTCCAGCAAGATAACATGTTATTCTTTACATTCTCCAGCAAGATAACATGTTATTCTTTACATTCTCCAGCAAGATAACATGTTATTGGTTACATTCTCCAGAAAGATAACATGTTATTCTTTACATTCTCCAGCAAGATAACATGTTATTCTTTACATTCTCCAGAAAGATAACATGTTATTCTTTACATTCTCCAGCAAGATAACATGTTATTCTTTACATTCTCCAGCAAGATAACATGTTATTCTTTACATTCTCCAGCAAGATAACATGTTATTGGTTACATTCTCCAGAAAGATAACATGTTATTCTTTACATTCTCCAGCAAGATAACATGTTATTCTTTACATTCTCCAGCAAGATAACATGTTATTCTTTACATTCTCCAGCAAGATAACATGTTATTGGTTACATTCTCCAGAAAGATAACATGTTATTCTTTACATTCTCCAGCAAGATAACATGTTATTGCTTACATTCTCCAGCAAGATAACATGTTATTCTTTACATTCTCCAGCAAGATAACATGTTATTGCTTACATTCTCCAGCAAGATAACATGTTATTGCTTACATTCTCCAGCAAGATAACATGTTATTGCTTACATTCTCCAGCTAGATAACATGTTATTTTTTACATTCTCCAGCAAGATAACATGTTATTGCTTACATTCTCCAGCTAGATAACATGTTATTTTTTACATTCTCCAGCAAGATAACATGTTATTGCTTACATTCTCCAGCAAGATAACATATTATTGTTTACATTCTCCAGCTAGATAACATGTTATTTTTTACATTCTCCAGCAAGATAACATGTTATTGCTTACATTCTCCAGCAAGATAACATGTTATTGTTTACATTCTCCAGCAAGATAACATGTTATTGCTTACATTCTCCAGCAAGATAACATGTTATTGTTTACATTCTCCAGCAAGATAACATGTTATTGCTTACATTCTCCAGCAAGATAACATGTTATTGTTTACATTCTCCAGCAAGATACCATGTTAATGCTTACATTCTCATGCAAGATAACATGTTATTCTTGACATTCTTCAGCAAGATAACATGTTATTGCTTAAATTATCCAGCAAGATAACATGTTATTGCTTACATTCTCCAACAAGATAACATGTTATTCTTTACATTCTCCAGCAAGATAACATGCTATTGTTTACATTATCAAGCAAGATAACTTGTTATTCTTTACATTCTCCAGCAAGATAACATGTTATCGCTTACATTCTCCAGCAAGATAACATGTTATTGTTTACATTCTCCAGCAAGATAACTTGTTATTGCTTATATTATCCACCTAGATAACTGATTCACTAATTTCCAGTGAAAAACAGTTTGTGAATGACTTTACTATGATTAATAATTCTAAATTACACCACTAACCTTCACGAACCACTATCCTTTATGGATTCCATAAATCCCCGAGGCTTCAAGTAATCGCCGAGGCCTCCAGTAATACTTTAGAGCCTCTCCAGTAATCCCCGAGACATACGGTAATCCCCTAAGCCTCCAGTAATCCCCGAGGCCTTAGGTAATCCCCTAAGCCTCATGTAATCCCGTAAGTCTCCAGTAATCCCAGAGGCCTCCAGTAATCCTTTAGAGCCTCCAGTAATCTAACAGGTCTCCAGTAATCCTTTAGGGCCTCCAGTAATCTCCCAAGTCTCCAGTAATCCCACAGGCCTCCAGTAATCCCCAAGGCCTCCAGTAATTCTTTAGGGCCTCCAGTAATTCTTTAGGGCCTCCAGTAATCCTTTAGGGCCTCCAGTAATCCTTTAGAGCCTCCAGTAATCCCCGAGGCCTCCAGTAATCCCACAGGCCTCCAGTAATCCCTGAGGCCTCCAGTAATCCTTTAGGGCCTCCAGTAATCCTTCCGTACCTCCTCCTGCAGGTCCACTGACAGAGGTGGAGGTGGTGGAGGGAGGAAGAGTCCTGCTGCCCTGTGAGGTCACTCCTCCCATATCCAGTGACGATACAATTCTCGTTCTCTTCTACCGTGGCACCTTTGGCACTCCCATATACAGGTGAGGTCCCCCACACACTCCCATATACAGGTAAGGTCTCCCACACACTCCCATATACAGGTGAGGTCTCCCACACACTCCCATATACAGGTGAGGTCCCCCACACACTCCCATATACAGGTGAGGTCTCCCACACACTCCCAGGTACAGGTGATGTCTCCCACACACTCCAAGGTACAGGTGATGTCTCCCACACACTCCCAGGTACAGGTGAGGTCTCCCACACACTCCCAGGTACAGGTGAGGTCTCCCACACACTCCCATATACAGGTGATGTCTCCCACACACTCCCAGGTACAGGTGAGGTCTCCCACACACTCCCAGGTACAGGTGAGGTCTCCCACACACTCCCATATACAGGTGAGGTCTCCCACACACTCCCAGGTACAGGTTGGTACACTGTGGTACAGGATGGTACACTGTGGTACAGGATGGTACACTGTGGTACAGGATGGTACACTACGGTACAGGATGGTACACTACGGTACAGGAGGGTACACTACGGTACAGGAGGGTACACTACGGTACAGGAGGGTACACTACGGTACAGGAGGGTACACTACGGTACAGGATGGTACACTACGGTACAGGAGGGTACACTACGGTACAGGAGGGTACACTACGGTACAGGAGGGTACACTACGGTACAGGATGGTACACTACGGTACAGGAGGGTACACTACGGTACAGGAGGGTACACTACGGTACAGGATGGTACACTACGGTACAGGAGGGTACACTACGGTACAGGAGGGTACACTACGGTGAAGGATGGTACACTACGGTACAGGATGGTACACTACGGTACAGGATGGTACAATCCAGGTGCGGGTAAAGTGACGCTCGGCTAATTAGAAAACCTTTTAAATGATAATTGCAAATCGCTTCAATAAAATAGTTCTGAAACATGGCATTAAAAGGCCTCACATGTCTCACTTCTCTATACGAAGCGGGACACATGCTCCTGACACATGGGACACAGTAGAGACACATGCTCCTGACACATGGGACACAGTAGAGACACATGCTCCTGACACATGGGACACAGTAGAGACACATGCTCCTGACACATGGGACACTGTAGAGACACATCCTCCTGACACATGGGACACAGTAGAGACACATGCTCCTGACACATGGGACACAGTAGAGACACATGCTCCTGACACATAGGACACTGTAGAGACACATGCCCCTGACACATGAGACACATGCCCCTGACACATGGGACACAGTGGAGACACATGCTCCTGACACATGGGACACAGTAGACACACATGTTCCTGACACATGGGACGCATTAAACACATGCTACTGACACATGGGACACTGTAGAGATACATGCTCCTGACACATAGGACACCACAGAGACACATGCTCCTGACACATGGAACACATTAAACACATGCTCCTGACACATTGAACACATTAAACACATGCTACTGACACATGGGACACAGTGGACACACATGCCCCTGACACATGGGACACTGTAGAGATACATGCCCCTGACACATGGGACACAGTGGACACACATGCCCCTGACACATGGGACACTGTAGAGATACATGCTCCTAACACATGGGATACTGTAGTGACACACGCTCCTGACACATGGGACACAGTAGAGACACATGCTCCTGACACATGGGACACAGTAGACACATACTATGGTCCCCAAGATACTATTTGGAGGCCATTTGCGACACGTGGAACATTGACAATTGACCCCTTGGCATTATGTGACATTCTGAGGGCATCATTAGATTCATGCTCCCAAATCGTATCTACGGCTCTACATGGGACTTTCAACACAACATGGGACTTCCAACGCTACATGGGACTTCCAACCCTACATGGGACTTTCAACCCTACATGGGACTTTCAACCCTGAATGGGACTTTCAACCCTAAATGGGACTTCCAACCCTACATGGGATTTCCAACCCTACATGGGACTTCCAACCCTACATGGGACTTTCAACCCTGAATGGGACTTCCAACCCTACATGGGACTTCCAACGCTACATGGGACTTCCAAGCCTACATGGGACTTTCAACCCTACATGGGACTTCCAACGCTACATGGGACTTCCAACCCTACATGGGACTTCCAACGCTACATGGGACTTCCAACCCTACATGGGACTTTCAACCCTACATGGGACATTCAACCCTAAATGGGACTTCCAACCCTACATGGGACTTCCAACCCTGCATGGGACTTCCAACGCTACATGGGACTTCCAACCCTGCATGGGACTTCCAACCCTACATGGGACTTCCAACCCTGCATGGGACTTCCAACCCTGCATGGGACTCTCAGCACTACATGGGCAGTGCTGAGAGAAACAACTCCTTTTCCCTTTTCCATTTGCACATTTTTTTTCAGCTTCAGAAACAAAAATGACAGCGAAGACACAAATCTTACGTGTCGTTGTCTTCTTCTTCTGACAAGAGTTTGTAAGATTTGTGTCTTACTGATGAGCTTCTTCACTTTTCTCACAATTTCCCCTGTCATGGTGTGTGTTATTTTTATATATAGATATCTGCACAGGAAACATTGTTGCGTGTTTGGTATTTTAATGGATTTAATTATGTGCAAGTTGATCAGATGTTGATGGTTGATGTAGCATATTTTTGATTGAGTAAATATGTTCTTAGCTCATGAAACTTTTAGGATTCATATAATATATTCTAAGATCATGGCCGGAACTGCCATTTATTTTTAGATTCTTTAAGAATAGAGAGTTCATTTTAAGATAAATGTGACAGTATTAACAAATGTAGAGCCCTGTTCACTTTGTGATATTTTCCAGTACAATCGTGTGAATAGGAGTACCATGTCTGGGGCAAGTGTAGGGACCCTTAGCCTTAGAGAAGAGAAAGGGAATCATGTATGTATATTCTTAATAATTTCTCAGGTTTCCTCATAGTACAAAAGAGGGAAGAACCTATAATTATGACCAGAGTCCCAACTGGAACCCCGAGTAGTGCTGGCTAACCTAGTAGGTCAGGTTCTGTTGCCAAATGGCTGCAACCCGTCCTCCTAATAGAACGTCGCATTTTGACGTATGCTCTAAGGGCAAAAATCGTCGTACTAGAAAATGAAAGCGGCTCTCGAAATTGATATACTGTCCCGTTTTCTGTTTTGGGTCCTCTGGTAGGTTAGTATAAGGGTCTACTTTAATACGATAGTTTCTTGACGTTGGGAGACCTTAAGAGGACGGATTGGGATATTCTCCTTGTGAATATTAAAGCATGAATGTCTAGAATAGAAGAGGCACTAAAGCCTCTTCTATTCTATTGCCTCTTCTATTGCTTGCCAGTGACTGAAACTTGGCCTCCACCCCAAAACTGACGAGCGTGGTGTGCACTACACAGTCAAATTGTAATTGTGTGACACTAGATCACCCTAATTGTAAAATACTTTGCCTGATGATCATTAGGGTCCAGTACACGAGCTCATTATATGCCTCTGAAGCGCCTCTATCATGCATCAATAGAAAAATGAAGTCATTAGTGAGGTAACTGAACACCTTAAACATTCTTTGTGTAAGGGCTTCATTAGGTCACTCTGACTTTTGATAAAGTGTGAATAGATTGATAGATAAATATGTTAACAAACACTGCAACTAGCTCATTAAGGCTGTAACTTGCGTAGCAACGAGAGCTTTGGGGGTTTTAGAACCTGATCTCCATTACACTCAGAAATCACAATTGCGTGATGCATCACATGAACAAATCCACAAGGGCCGTGACGAGGATTCGAACGTGCGTCCGAGAGCATCCCAGACGCTGCCTTAATCGCCGCTGCCACTCCTTTTGACCACGTCGTAGCTCAGTCTATTAAAGCAGCGTCTGGGATGCTCTCGGATGCAGGTTCGAATCCTCGTCACGGCCTTTGGGGATTTGTTCACCTGGCCAATAACAGGGGCAATCTATACCCCTGTTACCTAGCAGTAAATAGGTACCTGGGTGATAGTCAGCTGTCACGGGCTGCTTCCTGGGGGTGGAGGCCTGGTCGAGGACCGGGACAGAGGACACTAAAGCCCCGAAATCATCTCAAGATAACCTCAAGATAACCTGACCCCCCATCATGGGCCACTGAAACCATTTCCTTCCTCAAAGTTTCGTACCCAAGGCCTCAGAGCCATTTAAAAGTCGCGTAGCAGTTTGCTCGCCTGAGCCCCTCCGCACAGTCAGCGCATTTTGTCTCTCTCTCTCCAGCATCGACGAGCGGAATGGAGCGTTGCGCGGCGGTCAGCACTGGTCTGACGAAGCAGTTCTGGGCGATCGTGCGAGCCTCGACCTGTCAGCCAGGCCGCCAGGTCTGGTCGTTCACCCAGTGCGTGCCTCGGACCACGACCAGTACCGCTGCCGGGTCGACTACCGCTCTAACCCCACCAGGAACGTACGCATCCAGCTGCATGTGGTCGGTATGTTGTTACTCAATCCCTTGCAACATGAACCAACATTATGCTTATTATTTAAACCATTATATTCCTTCTTATGTTGCAACTGCTGTTGCATAACACGTATGTAGTATTCACAAGTAAAGTATATAATTCTAATCGATATACAATCCATATATATACAACCCACATATGTAATCCACATATACAATCCTCGTTGAATACAAAACACAATTCATCAATAACAGCCTGTCAAACAAATCGTCTCCTTCAAGGAGTAACTTGAAGGCATCCTCGCCTCTCAAACCATATCTTTACATTGAAGCTTGTCATAAAAAAGTTTAGTCTAGGAGGGAGCTAATTGAGTGGTTCCCCTCTTCCCATGTGACAGTTCCCCCTCGGAGGTTGACGGTGGTGAGTGAGGCTGGCCTGGAGGTCAGTGGCATCATCGGGCCTTACCCTGTCGGGGCCTCCCTCACACTACACTGTCGAGCTGAAAACGGTAAGTACGACAACATAAGTGAGAGAGATTCCAAAGGGAAAATCAATCATTAAATACATCAGTTTCTATTTTACAAGCTTCAAAAGAAGCTGGTGTAAAACAAGAAGCCTTTTTGCTTGTAATTTAATTCGGAACGCCAATATTAATCCCAAATGAACTCTTGGTGTTAGTTAAAGTAGAGAAATGTCAGGTTTTGAGACGTCGCCGCCGCTGCCTGTTTGAATTTCCCGCGGCGTTTCGCGCGCCCTCTATGTAAACAAAGAGCAAGACGCCCTCTATAGGCATCAGTACGAGTATTATTCAAGTCAGTGAGAAAGTAATGGATTTATATCCAACTTAAACCTGCCATAAGCCACAGCACTAAGAAAACTATAAGAGAGAGAGAGAGAGAGAGAGAGAGAGAGAGAGAGAGAGAGAGAGAGAGAGAGAGAGAGAGAGAGAGAGAGAGAGAGAGAGAGAGAGAGAGAGAGAGAGAGAGACAGACCAATTAAAGAACAAAAAGGGTAAGAAAAAGTAATAACGAGCTAATCCGAAGATAGGTGACAGGTCACACAATCCCACCCGGTGCCAGTAGACTGTCACCAATAGTGCCAACCGCAGTAACTGGAGCCCGCCTGGGTTGGCACTGGCCCCACTCCGCACCGCCAAAATAATTTCATTTTCCCCTTTATTGGACTTTCCCTTTGTCTCCCGGTAGTGTGTCATCAGCCTTGTCAAGAAGGCGTTCGCTTCATTTGCTGAGCCAATATTTACTGCTATCAGAATAGCGTCTTGGGCCAGGGGGGGGACATTGCTCCACGGTCTCCAAGCTGCAATGATGATCGTTGCAAAGAAATTCACCGTTGAGTCAAGCGCTTTTTGATTACCTCGAAGGTGACTGGATTTCGTTCTTTCCCAAGATTGGTAAAAAGATTAGTTTATGTCGAGTGTTTGTTGATCTTGTGACATTATTAGGTTTGCATGTTGCATTCAATATACTTGCTTGCAATGTCACTGGTGATATTAATTTTTTTAGGGTTTCTTTTGTTTGAAAGTGACCGTAAGATTACGAGTCAGTGTCAGTAAGTCAGTGTCAATGGATCAGTGTCAGTGAGTTAGAATTAGTGATTCGGTGTTATTGAGTCAGTGTCACGCACTCAGTGAGTGCCACGCACTCAGTGAGTGAGTGCCTTGCTAGTGTGATCTCATCCCATCACCTGAGTGGGAGATGGGAGATAATTAACGCTAGTGTGACCCCATCACCGCTGCTCACATAAACATTTCTCATCAACTGGAAACTGTTCCATGAGTATTTCTCACGCCGAGGCAACAAAGATGATTTTTCAGACACTTGGCGTTCAGCCATTAAGATTCCGCAAGAAATCATCCTCTAAATATCCATTTGGGAAGAAAATCAATAAGTCATTTGAGAATCTTTCCAACTGACTTCACAAAAAAGGAATTACCTTGGCATTTCTCTATCTTGAAACGGGTTTAATTCTTTTGCTAACAATTCAACACTCATCAGGCATGACCTGATGATTCTAGACTGGGCAACACAGCGCTCAGATGATACAGAAATACAGCCGAGGAACAGAAGGGATTCATATGGCATTAACTGACCAGAAGATGGAAAAGTGGGGCCAGGGAGCTATGGCTCGACCCTGTAAATAGAACAAGGTGAAGTGACATGGATTATAAAGTACATCCAAATTTTAATACATTCAAAATACATTTGTAATTAAGAACACTATTTGCCCAAATGCAACTCTAAGGTGGATTAATAATACTATTTGGATGTATGTTAGATTAAAGGCTTCTATTTGAAATAGGAAAATTATGTATATGCTTATAAAATTGGGAAGGATTTGTAAAGCAACATAGCTTTATTAAACAGAAAAAAAATGATGTTTTAAATAAGAAAATGAGTTGCGAGGTGAAAATGCTGAGGGAAGCAAAGTTAAACCCCCAAATTAATAAACCGCAAAGGTTTAATAAAGCCCAAAAGGTTCTCCATAATTATCCAACTGAGGTGAGAGAGAAAACAGGTGTTGTGGGATATAACTATTTAATCCCTTTGTATGTTAGCTTTTAATCCAGTCTGGACTACTGTGATATTAATAAAGGAAATGTGACTGAAGTATGCTATCAGTGAACGAGGATATATGATTAAAGTATACAAGAGATGAACGACAGGCGATATAACTGAAGAACATTATGGGTGAACAAAGGGTAATATGACTGAAGAAGACTTTGTGAACGAGGGGAGATATAAACAAAGAAACCAGTGGATGAATGAGGGGAGATTAATACAAGTCTTTAATTAATACAGTTTAATTAATGTATTAATTTCATTAATGTATTAATAGAATTAATACTGTAAATAAATGGGTAAAAGATACTATTGAAGGGGATATATATATATACAACGTGTTGGACAAATCAAATGTAGATACTACTCGTAATATCTAATTTACTGCTTTTATTAACGAAATTCTATAGGTAAATTATGTGGCAGCATCTCACACGCTGCTGATGGAGCAAGGTTTATGTGTTCCACTTAGTATTGCAATTCATTCCCAATATGTTTCTTTTTTCTAGTTCCTGTACTTGCCTTCCATTTATGGGGTAGATATCTCCATATCTCCCTTTTCCCCTCTTTCTTGTCCTCGTCACAGAACACTTGGTGAGATTGAATACAAGAATACAAGAATACAAGAGTTTGTAATGAACACTACAGTCATCAGTACTGAGAGTGTACTCCTAATCAACAGTGCAGTTATTAGTACAGAAACTGTGCTCATACTCAACACTTTTTCAGTCATCAATACTAAGCGAGTTCTCTGACTAGTTTTAACAAAAATTGTGAATAGCAGTTGTGGAGGCGAGAGACATACATATATATATATATTTTCATATTAATATTTATGTTATTCTCACGTGATAATGACAAGGTTTCTACATCTGCTACAATTATTATTCGATGTTTGTACTGGTGAGGGAGGTGATTGTTCAAACGGAATATTGTTCAGTTCACCGCAATATCCTGATTGTGTCTGTTCACTACAATACCCATAGACTCTGTTCACTACAATACCCAGAGAACCTCTGTTCACTACAATACCCATAGACTGTTCACTACAATACCCAGAGGCTCTGTTCACTACAATACCCAGAGAACCTCTGTTCACTACAAAACCCAGAGAAGCTTTGTTCACTACAATATTCATAGCCTCTGTTCACTACAATCCCCAAACTGTTTGTTTACAACAATAACCAGTGCTCTGATAACGACGATACCCTCAAAAACTACCCTTCAAGAGCAGCCTTGAGCCGCCCAGGGCCTGACCCTCCTGCCCTGGTGCCCCCCCGACAGGTCGCCCTCCGCCGCAGGTCTCATGGTGGTCCAAGGCGACCCTGCTGGACGACCTCATTGAGGACAGACGAGGGGAGGTGACCCTCAACACCCTGACCTTGGAGGCCCTCACACGGGCTGACCTCTACCGCCTCCTGACCTGTCAAGCCGTCAACTCCAATCTCTCCACTCCCACCGCTGTCACGCTCACTATTGACATGACGTGTAAGTTTTGTCCATATGTGACTGTTCTTATGTTGATTAGCCACATATAGCTGCCTATTATTAACGTTTCACACAACAAATAAGCGTTATTTTTACGTTGTTAGACAGCAAAAGAGTTCTTAGAACGAGGTTATTTTTTTTGTAAATTAGTTGGGAATGACCCCAGGAACTTTTAAAACACTATACAATTGGGACATACATAGCCGACCTCTCACTGTGTTCAACATTCGAGAGATTGACTCCACAGTCCACACTTTCAAGAGAATGTTTTGAGTGTTTGTTCAGCATGTTTTGGGACTTAAATAGAGGGGGTTGTGTGTTGTCTGAAGACTGAATTTGTTATTGTTCTGATAGCAGATTTTTACTGGGTGATTATGGGCTTGAGGTAGTTTGCCGTGGTTGAACTCCATGCACAGATACCGTATGTAAGATAGGGATAGATTAGTGAGTGCTATCATGCTAGAAGTGCAAGGGGGAAGGGAAAATATGTGGGTTTTGAAATTACTTCAACAGTTTCAGAGACGTTTTGGCTGTGTTTTATTTGGGTACTGAAGTTAAATCTCTTCTCAATGAATAGCCCTAGAAACATTATCTCATTTTTACTATTAATGTTAACACTGCCTATCTCAAAGTATATTTGGTTTGATGATTTGCTTTCAAATAAAATGTAATAGGTCTTTTTTATCTTTAGTGTGTTGGTTGACATCCATGAGTGGACTTTTTATTTATCTCACTATTTACAATATTATCACGAGTGTTTGAGGGTTATTAAAAGATAAATCATAGAAAGTTTAGAGGATATTTCCTGGGTCGACATAGCACTCCAAGACCAGGAGCCGGTCCACGGTGTCAGGAAAACAGAAGACTGTGGCAGAGTAATCTCAGCTCGTCAACTTTACGTCAACTTTCAACTCAGTCAACTTTCTACGTCAACTCAGCTCGTCAGCTCTCTATAGTCCTTCTTAAAGAAGACATTTATTTATTTATTTATTTATTTATTTATATACAAGAAGGTACATTGGGTTTGTGAGGATACATAGCAAGGTATTTACAACCTCGTAAAGCCACTAGTACGCGCAGCGTTTCGGACACTGACAAAATATAATTTATTTTTATGTGAAATATGAACATATATCACGATCAATAAGAAATACATATTAACCATAATTCTTATATAGAATCTTAATGAAAATAAATTCCAATATACTTCCTATCGTTAGTATATACTTAAATAATTCTATAACATTCTATTTTGATAACTTCTGCTTCTGGATAACTTGATATCGAAACACGTTTCGACTCACAACAGTGTTTCATATTGTTGACAAGACGGGCGGAGGCCTAAATGTTTCATCTAGATGTTATCTTAAATCAACTTCATTGTCCACACAGAAATCACAATAGCGTCATGTATCAAATGAACAAATCCACAAGGGCCGTGACGAGGATTCGAACTTACGTCCTACGTTCTCGGACGTAGGTTCGAATCCTCATCACAGCCCTTGTGGATTTGTTCTACTTCATTGTAGTTCTCTGGAGAGGGAATTAGTTCTGTGAAGGACACCTGCCTCTTGGGCACAGATAAGGGTCTAAGACCTGAGAAAAGTGTGTACCCTTCTACGTCACCTGTACCTAAAGTAAAGAAAATAATAGAGTAAATGCTGTTATATATATGTGGTGTGCATGAGAGGCGTGACGTCACTATGACGTTGTAAAGCGCATACTGGTACAGGCTATAGACCCTAATGGTGCAGGGAAACCCTCTTCGATCAGCTGTGCAGCCACTTCGGGTGGACGGTAGAGCGACTGTCTCTTCATGCAGGTCGGCGTTCAATCCCCGGCCGTTCCAAAGTGGTTGGGCACCATTCCTTCTCCCCGTCCTATCTCTAATTCTTATTATGATCTTTTCCAAGTGCTATATAGTCATACTGACTTGGCGTTTCATCCTTGATAATTCCCTTCCCCTCCCCTGCCTTGTCTCCAAGATGCCCCGACCACACACCAGAAGATGATTAGGAGACGACGAGGTTTCGGTCCGTCTTGGATCATTATCAAGTCGATCGTGATAATGGTCCAAGGGACCGAAACGTCGTCGTCTCCTCATCATCTTCTGATGTGTGTGGTCTGGTTATCATATCTTCAGAAACGTTCTTGTGACTCATCGTCTGCTCATCTCCAAACTTTATGTGATGAATGTTGTGGTATCTAAGACCCATGTGACCCCAGCGGGTAACACACACACACACACACACACGGCCTTAATACCCACCTCCACCACCGTGTTTTTTCCTTCTCCCGTGTGGTGACAGTTCCGCCCGTAAGCGTGAAGATCGGGGTACCGACAGACAGCCTGGCAGAGGGTGAACGCTACAGATTACTTTGCGAATCTTCCGGCAGCCGACCGACAGCGAAGATCACCTGGTGGAAGGATGGGATGCTCATGACGGATGCCACAACACAGGTACGGTAACTCCTATATTCAGTAGTGAGAGGGAGAAGGGGGACTTGCTGCATGGGTAACAGCTTCTCACTCGTATCTATCTAACCTGGCTTTGTGCCCTGGAGAGGCCACTCCAGACCCACAAGCAGAGCACAACTCCATAGTCTTCTGAGACTGGTGGATGCCTACTATCCGCTAGAAGGATATCAAGCGGTGCCAGCATAATATCTTCACTGTATATACTTTCTTCATCATCGTAACCATCTTCACTATTCACTGTTATCGTCACCGTAACCATCTTCCCTAATTACTATCCTCGTCACTCTAATTGAATAAATTTAGTTCATTGTTTCGAGTAAAATCAGGGAAATAGGCAGTAAACTCTATGGAACATACACCTGCAATTTCATTTCCTCCTTCATGACATCGTTAGGGGGAGGTAAGAGGCAGATATTTTTTGAAGTACTTAAGATCGATGAAGACCGCAGTTGACTGCATGTCGGGATACGAACCGCAAAAATACCGAGTACATCGACAAGTCGAATGCACATTGCGGCGTCCGAATGGCAGGAGTTGGGGGGGCTCGAACGGGCGTCAGAGGAGTGGCTGTTGTGACTCCTGGTCGATGTAGACTTATACCCTCCCCCCCTCCCCCCAAACAGCCTTTGTCAGTCCCATACCGCAGACCACTTCGCCTGCAAAATTACGTGAAACTAGCCCCAGACTTCTGCCTCCAAACCTATTCTTGGTTGGGAGTTTATAAACCTATATGAGTCTATGTGTGAGAGTGTTTGTATGTTTGTCTCTTAGAAAGCTAGATGCTTGGGGTTCCTAATAATATATATATATATATATATATATATATATATATATATATATATATATATATATATATATATATATATATATATGTGTACTCACCTAGTTGTACTCACCTAGTTGTGTTTGCGGGGGTTGAGCTCTGGCTCTTTGGTCCCGCCTCTCAACCGTCAATCAACAGGTGTACAGATTCATGAGCCTATCGGGCTCTGTCATATCTACACTTGAAACTGTGTATGGAGTCAGCCTCCACCACATCACTTCCTAATGCATTCCATTTGTCAACCACTCTGACACTAAAAAAGTTCTTTCTAATATCTCTGTGGCTCATTTGGGCACTCAGTTTCCACCTGTGTCCCCTTGTGCGTGTTCCCCTTGTGTTAAATAGACTGTCTTTATCTACCCTATCAATCCCCTTCAGAATCTTGAATGTGGTGATGTGTGTGTGTGTGTGTGTGTAAATTCTCAGTGTATATACACGTAGAAGCGGGGTATATCTCCCATATATTCCCGTCCTTTTGTCATATCTAACACAATAATATACTAAAAATAATTTCTTCTCCGAATAATATTTGTATATAATTTTGCTATGAATATTTTTTTTCTCCATTTATATTTAAATCTTTCTATTTCAGTGTTATTTTTGTGTGTTTTGATAAAATCTCATTATGCAACAATTTTCTCTTAATTCTATCAAACACTAATTCCTGTTTTCAGTATTATACCAAAAATCATATTATAACTATATTTTATATTTTCGATTCTAGATACTTTCTTCTGGACAAATTTTTTTTGTCCCAATTCACTTGCCTCTCACGTTAACTTTTTGTTAAAAAAGTACTGTAATTTTTTTCCTTTTTTTGGGGGCATTATAATTTCATTAAAGTTTCCAGTGGTTATTTTTATGTTAATTAAACAATGTTTATTTTAACTGATGAGAATTTTTATTTTCGTTTGGCGGCGGCTTAAATTAAGGTCAGTTACCTTTTGGGAGGTGTAATTAAGGCCAACACCTTGCTGTGTGTGTACTCACCTAGTTGTACTCACCTAGTTATGCTTGCGGGGGGTTGAGCTCTGGCTCAACTCCCGCAAGCACATTGTTTGCTCAATGCTGAGCAAACATTGAGAGGAATGGGTCTATACCCTCTGGGAGATGATTAACGTATATCAGAAACAGGATAGGTCCGAGTACCGAGCCCTGTGGGACTCCACTGATGACTTCACGCCAATCTGAGGTCTCACCCCTCACTGTAACTCTTTGCTTCCTATTGCTTAGGTACTCCCTTATCCACTGGAGCGCCCTACCAGCTACACCTGCCTGTCTCCCCAGCTTATGTACCAGCCTCTTATGGGGTACTGTATCAAAGGCTTTCCGACTGTCCAAGAAAATGCAGTCCGCCCAGCCCTCTCTTTCTTGCTTAATCTTTGTCACCTGATCGTAGAATTCTATTAAGCCTGTAAGGCAAGATTTACCCTCCCTGAACCCATGTTGATGGGTTGTCACGAAGTCTCTTCTCTCCAGATGTGTTACTAGGTTTTTTTCTCACGATGTTCTCCATCACCTTGCATGGTATACAAGTTAAGGACACTGGCCTGTAGTTCAGTGCCTCTTGTCTGTCACCATTTTTGTATATTGGGACCACATTCGCCGTCTTCCATATTTCTGGTAGGTCTCCCGTTTCCAGTGACCTACTGTACACTATGGAGAGTGGCAAGCAAAGTGCCTCTGCACACTCTTTCAATACCCATGGTGAGATCCCGTCTGGACCAACAGCCTTTCTCACATCCAGATCCAGCAGGTGATGTGGAGCCTCTCCTGATGTGTGTGTGTGTGTGTGTGTGTGTGTGTGTGTGTGTGTGTGTGTGTGTGTGTGTGTGTGTGTGTGTGTGTGTGTGTGTGTGTGTGTGTGTGTGTGTGTGTGTGTGTGTGTGTGTGTGTGTGTGTGTGTGTGTGTGTGTGTGTGTGTGTGTGTGTGTGTGTGTGTGTGTGTGTGTGTGTGTGTGTGTGTGTGTGTGTGTGTGTGTGTGCAATATTATGGTTTACACAGATGCTAAGAAGTTAAACTAACCCATTAACAATTATATACTCTCAATATGCATGCTTTGGGTGACCATTGAGATCCTGAATCAGGGCTGCAATATTATGCCAAGACTCAAGGAACGAACAATACAACATTGCTAACAAGTCCGTGAAGTTGACGAATCCAGAGTTTGTAGATTCGTCAACTAAACGAATCCACGAACTCCTCTAACATGGAATCTGAACGACAGGTGTTCCAGGAGGGCAATGTGAGTCGTTCAACCTTGCAGTTAACACCAATTCTAGCTGACCATGATAGATACATCTCCTGTCGGGCTGAGAATCCTCTCTTGACGTCACAAGTCATCGAAGACGTCCTCAAACTGGACGTCCGATGTAAGTATTCTGTAAATGATAACTACCAAACAGTCCCTGTGTAAACATCTTAACAAACATTAAATATTTACATATATATTCTTGCTGTTCTAGTCTCAAACTTTAATATTTATTTTTTTTATTGCCGTTATCAGTGTTCAGTGCACGTCAGCCCAAATCCTTATCCTGACCCGCTTCTCAGTGCTATATAATGTTAATTTCAACTTCCCAGTGCTATATAATGTTAATTTCAACTTCCCAGTGCTATATAATGTTAATTTCAACTTCCCAGTGCTATATAATGTTAATTTCCCCTTCCCTTGTTTGGACAGACAAGCCGAGACTGTCCTTAGCGGCCGGACAGAATTTGGACATGGAGGATATCAAAGAGGGCGACGATGTCTACTTTGAGTGTGGCATCGAGGCCAACCCCAGGGTGTACAAGGTGCAATGGTTCCATGATGTGAGTGGTGATGGCAGTCAAGGCCTTTGCTGTGGTGCTTGGCTAACACCTTGATGGATAAAAAAGTTAGGGAGTTGCTGGACAAATAAGTTTGGGTGTTGATGGATAATTAAGTTAGGGTGTTGATGGATAATTAAGTTAAGGTGTTGATGGATAATTAAGTTAGGATGTTGATGGATAATTTAGTTAAGATGTTGATGGATAATTAAGTTAGTGTGTTAATGGATAATTAAGTTAGAATGTTGATGGATAATTTAGTTAAGATGTTGATGGATAATTAAGTTAGTGTGTTAATGGATAATTAAGTTAGGGTGTTAATGGACAGTAAAGTTAGGTGTTGATGCACAATTAATTTAGGTTTTGATGCACAATTAAGTTTAATGTTGATGCATAATTAAGTTGGGTGTTGATGCATACTTATGCAAGATTTTGATGCATAATTAAGTTGGGTGTTGATGCATACTTATGCAAGATTTTGATGCATAATTAGCATACGCGTTGATGTATAATTAAGGTAGGTGTTGATGCATAGTTAAGATAAGCATGAATGCATACTTAAGTATGGCGTTGATAGAAAATTAAGTTAGGTGTTTATGCATAATTACGTAAGGTCTTGAGGCAAATTAAAGTTAGGTATTTATACACATTTAAGTTAGGAATTGATGTACAATTAAGTTAGGTTCTGATGCACAATTAAGACTTAGGAACACATCAATTTTAACGGACGGAAGAGTTTGAAAAACCGTGTATTTTGTATTCTATAAATTGTTCATATAATGTTCAACAGTTCAGATAAACTAACACTAAAGTTAAAAGTTGTATTTGTATCGTAACCACCAGCTGTATAACTTCACAAAAGCCGCCGTCAACACATCAAAAGTCTCAGATAAGGCTGCTGTATTAATATACAATTTCCTGAACGGATAAGATATTATCACCCTTAACTCGTATAGAGTATTCAATTGTATTCTTTTAAGAAGTTTGTCGTACCCATATGCGGTATATCACTCTTAAAACTAAGAAGCTTGCTTTAAGAAAACAATGCAAAGTATCTCGTTCAGTCGGTTATATAGCTATAAGACGCTCTAATACTGCTGACCAGACCACACACTAGAAGGTGAAGGGACGACGACGTTTCGGTCCGTCCTGGACCATTCTCAAGTCGATTGTGAACTTGGAGACATGCTCCTGGACCATTCTCAAGTCGATTGTGAACTTGGAGACAATCTCCTGGACCTTGAGAATGGTCCAGGACGGACCGAAACGTCGTCGTCCCTTCACCTTCTAGTGTGTGGTCTGGTCAACATACTTTAGCCACGTTATTGTGACTCCTCGCCTGCACGCTCTAATACTGTTACTCTGCTGCTGTTCCTGGCTGCCACAGGGCCGGGAGCTAAGTCACAACGTGACTGCAGGAGTAATCAAGAGTAATCAGAGTCTCGTACTCCAACGGGTCAATCGAGGCTCGACTGGGGAGTACTCCTGCTCGGCCTCGAATCTTGAAGGATCAGGAGATTCCAATTCCGTTCAGCTCAGTGTGAAGTGTGAGTATTCTCAGAGCTGGTGATTGTGAGTATTCTCAGAGTTGGTGATTGTGAGTATTCTCAGAGCTGGTGATTGTGAGTATTCTCAGAGCTGGTGATTGTGACGACACCCAGAGCTGGTGATTGTGAGTATTCTCAGAGTTGGTGATTGTGACGACACCCAGAGCTGGTGATTGTGAGTATTCTCAGAGTTGGTGATTGTGACGACACTCAGAGCTGGTGATTGTGAGTATTCTCAGAGCTGGTGATTGTGACGACACCCAGAGCTGGTGATTGTGACGACACCCAGAGCTGGTGATTGTGAGTATTCTCAGAGCTGGTGATTGTGACGACACCCAGAGCTGGTGATTGTGAGTATTCTCAGAGCTGGTGATTGTGAAAACACTCAGAACTGGTGATTGTGAGGACTCACAAAACTGGGCAGCTCGCTGCAGTGAGGAAAATATATAATGTTTCAGCCTCGTTCATCTCTCCTATTTTGTGAAATTGAATTGCATATATAAATGAGGAAATATTTACAACACACTGATGGTATTGCTTTTGTTTTTTTTGGTGCTGTGTGTCTGACAGTCGCACCCACCTGCCGGTCGGGCCAGAAGGTGGTGTATGGCGCCGGCAAGAACGAACAGCTCAATGTAACCTGCAGCGTCGAGGCCCATCCTGAACCCACCGCCTTCAGGTACGTCTTTGGTAGTACGTAGAACAGGAAATTCGGACCGCAGGTCGAGTCTCCCAGAACCCCAGGTGATTGGCATGCAGAACAAGGCTTGCATTGCATCGCGTAGCGCTAATTACACGTTATAACAAGGCCAATGTAATTAATACGTGATTTCAACTCATTATTTTGATATGTAATCGTTATTTATCTTATCTTGGAAGGGAACGTAATTATTGCTGTAATGTAATTATTTCCCATATTATTTTACAGGTCACACGGCAAGTTATTTGTGTAATGTCTAGTGGGATGATTTGTATGACTTTATGCTGACAATAATTGTTTAACAAGCGGTTCAGTGTGATTTATGTGTATATAATTAGAGCGCAGTGATTGTGTTACTCTTGAGGGACAGGTCTTTAAATTATGTAATCATTATGTATCTTATTATACTGATTGGTCGAGGTCCCTGTCAGTGCCCGTGTCCTTGGCTGTATCATATGTGTCAGTGACTGTGTTATTATGTATCTCATATATGTCAGTGTGTGTGTGTCCTTGTATGTTTCATATATGTGAGTGTCTGTGTTCTCGTGAGTCTTATATGAGAGTATATGTGTCCTTGTGAGTTTCATATATGTGAGTGTCTGTGTTCTCGTGAGTCTTATATGAGAGTATATGTGTCCTTGTGAGTTTCATATATGTGAGTAACAAATATATATTAGCTTCAAAGTGCGTTTTAACATGAGAAAATACCCCCAGGAACATAAAAAAAATTCTCTCGCCTTGGTTATCCTTTGCATTTCATCAACTGTGCCCACTCTCAAGCTAAACGAAATTTCTTTCATCCTAAACCTGCTTCCAACACTAGTAGCACTGTACTATGCCTTCCCTTCATATCTGAACTCAAAACTTTTACCAATACCTTTCGTCCTCTTGACATTAAACTCGCCTTTCGACAAACTAACACACTTCGTAGCAATCTAGTTCACACTGCTCCTCCTGCTTCTAATGCTGCTGGTGTCTACTCTATTTCCTGTTCATCTTGTCCTCTCCAATACTTTGGCGAAACTGGCCGTACACTGAATGACAGACTTAAAGAACACAAGAGAAGTGTTAAGTCTGCAGACACTAACAATGCCTCTTCTGCCATGTGAGGGATTCTAATCATCCCATTGATTGGTCTTCCTCCAAAATAATCTTTCCTGCCTCTACTCTACATAGACGCCGTCTTGTAGAATCGGCTGTTATACACAATGTACCCAACATGAACTTGAGTCCTGGCTTTGTTGCTGTGGACTCTTCCCTTTCACAGTATATACTCAAATGCTCTAATCTTTCTAACAAACGTGACTTAACGTAAGCTTACCCCTTCCATTTATCTTTCTTTCTCTTTCCTTTTCTTTCTCTCTTCTCCCCTTTTTCTGTTCATTGTCTTCTCCTACGCTCCCTTGCTATCCTCTTCTTATTCCTATTACTATCTCCTTCTCTTTCGGTGGTTATAATAAGAGCTGCCTCGTATGGGCCAATAGGCCTTCTGCAGTTCTCATTATTACTACTATCCCCCTACACCTTACTTTCCTCCTCAGCTCTCTCTTGCCTACTTATTGCCTGTCCCTACCTGTCCTTATCACAATCGACTTGAGAATGGTCCAGGACGAACCGAAACGTCGTCGTCCCTTCACCTTCTAGTGTGAGGTCTGGTCAACATACTTCAGCCACGTTATTGTGACTCATCGCCTGCATATATAAAAAATATATATATATAGGACGCATCTGATCTCACAATCATCGTTTCTCCTCAAACAACAAACACATACAATATCAAACAGTCAAAGGATATGACTCAGCATATCCAGTCAACCAAAAAAAAAAAAGGTGTGTGATGCTGAGGATAACAGGTATGAGATCGAGGATAACAGGTGTGAGATCAAGGCTAACAGGTATGAGGTCGATGATAACAAGTGTGAGATCGAGGATAACAGGTGTGAGGCTGAGGATAACAGGTATGAGATCGAGGCTAACAGGTATGAGGTTTATGATAACAAGTGTGAGATCGAGGATAACAAGTGTGAGATCGAGGCTAACAGGTATGAGGTCGATGATAACAGGTATGAGGTCGATGATAACAAGTGTGAGATCGAGGATAACAGGTGTGTGAGGCTGAGGATAACAGGTGCGAGTATAACACTCAAGACTCTAAGCCAATGCTCAAAAAACATCAGAGTTCATGAATACGAGTTCAAACATCTATGTTCACATGTGTGTGTTCACATATCCCAGGTGGGCGTTCAACAGCTCCTCGGAGGTGACGGAGATCGCCAGCAGTAAGACCTGGGTGCTTGGGGACGGCCTCAGCCAGGTCTCCTACACCCCACGTTCGCATCTCGAATATGGCTCTCTTCTCTGCTGGGCCTCCAACCACGTCTCAAGACAGGTCCAACCTTGTATCTACCACATTATACACGCCTGTGAGTGCCGCCTTCCGGGTTTCTTCCAGGTGTCTTGGCAAATATGGCTATATATATGGCTTCCATTTTTTGCAAATATGGTTATGTATATGGCTTCCATTTTTTGCAAATATGGCTCTATATATGGCTTTCATTTTTTTGCAAATATGGCTATTCATATGGCTTCCATTTTTTGCAACTATGGCTATATTGTGTAATATCATCATTTAGAGAAACGAGTGAATATCTTGTGCCATATGTAACTAATTTTTCAAACTGGTTATAAAAAGAAGAAAATTCTTCTGAAGCGATTGTCAATGTTTTTGGAAAGCATGTATAGTAAGCAGCCCTTTGTCAGAAGGTCTGTAAGTTAATTCTGTAAGTCAGAAGTCAACTATTCATATCCCAGGCGTAAACAAAGATTAATTGAAGTCCTTAAGCCTTAGAAACTGAACCTCACCAGAGACTCATTAGAGACTTAGAAGCACATGGTATTGGGCAAGTTATTCTAAGTTGGATTAGGGGATTGGTAACTTCAAAGATAGCAGAGTTAGTGGGAATGTTAAGTCCGAGGGGGAAATGGTTGTAAGTCAGTCCGTCCTCCTAAAGTCTGCCAACGTTAGGAAACTGACATACTAAAGTGCCCCCTTATCCTAACCTACCAGAGGACCCAAAACAGAAAACGGGACAATATGTTAATTTCACGAGCCAATTCTATTTTCTAGTACGACAATTTTTTACCCTTAGGTGACGTATACGTCAAAATGCGACGTTCTATTAGGAGGACGGGTTGTGTAAGTGGAAAACCCAGTACTCTGAACCTATGTTGTTCATCATATATTTGAACAATTTAGACACAGGAGTGAACAGCAACAATTGCAAGTTTTGCAGATGGTACACAAAATGAGGCGAGAAAATAAAAAATACTCAAAATTGCGAAAAAGGCTTTTTTAAGTGGATGAAAGAATGAGAATTATAAAAAGAATTATAAAATTATAAAAAAAATAAAGAATGAGAATTATAAAGAATGAGAATGATTTTTTTTAAATGGATGAAAGAATGGGAAACACAAGTTAATTCTGACACATCTCGAGTTCTCAGCCGATTTAATGATAAAAGTTACTAGAAATCAGCTGAACAATGTGGCCATTACGAAATTAGAATGCGAAAAAGATTTAGTATTCAGATCTTAACTAAAAAAAAAAAGATGTATTGAGAATACTGCGATTTATATCTATAGGAGCTATAGATCTACATCTACATGTTATAATATAATGTCATACTAAAAATACAACTACAACATATTAGTTGTTGTATTAGTTGTAGTTGTATTATTTAATAATACAACTACATCATATAATATTAATAATACAACTACATCATATAATATTGTTCTTTATTATGCTATCAGCTTTATTAATCAATTGCAGTACATCATTTTGATCAAGCAGATCAATCATGGTCTCTGTGCTATGCAACAGACATCAATTCACTTGAACATGTCCAGAGAACAATAACAAAGTTAATAACAGGAATGATCAGCTACATAGACATGCTGGATAAAGTGACAGGAATGATGGCATGATTGACGTAGATAAATGGCTAAAAAAAGATATAATAAAGGGATATAAATCAAGTTTGGAATATATTAACACTTAAAAAAACCAGAAGAAACAATAGATATGAATAATGAGGTTAATAATCTAATTAAATATTATTGATATGAGGGCGCTTCTCACCTGTCAGGTGATAGAATGTTGATCATTGCACCTATTTGTTCCCCTCTTGGAGAATTCAAGTTAATAACATTATAACTTATTGATGAAAACGTATTATTGATGTTAAATTTTGACGAAAAAAATATAACGTCAGCAAACTCTATGTCAGCGGTGACCTATCCTGGGATTCATCCTCGTCCCCCAGAACTCACCTTCCCCAGGACCCACCTTCCCCAGGACTCACCTTCCCCAGGACTCACCTTCCCCAGGACTCACCTTCCCCAGGACTCACCTTTCCCAGGACCCACCTTTCTCAGGACCCACCATTCCTAGGACCCACCTTTCCCAGGACCCACCTTTCCCAGGACCCACCTTTCTCAGGACCCACCTTTCCCAGGACCCACCTTTCCCAGGACCCACCTTTCCCAGGACCCACCTTCCCCAGGACCCACCTTCCCCAGGACCCACCTTCCCCAGGACCCACCTTTCCCAGGACCCACCTTTCCCAGGACCCACCTTCCCCAGGACCCACCTTTCTCAGGACCCACCTTTCTCAGGACCCACTTTCCCAGGACCCACCTTTCCCAGGACCCACCTTTCCCAGGACCCACCTTTCCCAGGACCCACCTTTCCCAGGACCCACCTCTCCCAGGACCCACCTAGCCCCAACACCCACCAAACCCCAACACCCACCTAACCCCAACACCCACCAAACCCAATGAAACACATACCCATATACCCACAGCGCCCCCGGACCCCGTAAACAACTGCACGGTGGAAAACATTAGCTCAACGGGCGTGGGCATCCGTTGCCAGGCCGGATGGGACGGTGGGCTGAGCCAGACCTTCACCCTCTCGGCTAGCCACGCCCGCGCCCATACCAGCGCCCACCAGGCCAAGAAAGACCCCCGGGTCCTGGCCAACACCTCCACGTCCCCTCGGCCGGAGTTCAGCTTGACGGGTCTTCAGCCCGGCACAGAGTACGTCCTGACTATCTTAGGCGTCAACAAGAAGGGTCAGAGTGAGCCTGTTAGACTGGCTATTTTCACCCTTAAGGACGTGGCTGAGAAGCGCACCAGTCCAGGTATGTAGAGATATATGGTTGATATAAAATGTTAAATCTTGATTGTGTTAAAGTTCGTCTAGAACATTGATCAAAGACGCCCACCTTGGACCTCATGACGTCAAGAACGATTGGCTTTGTGTCGTAACATTGATTCGCTAATCACTTTAATAACAGCGCTCAAAATAGGTATTTTTGAATTTTGCTAATTGATATGAATGACTGTAATTTAGTAATGATTAACATCACTTGTGATCAAATTTAGGCTCGAGGTGTTTGGTGGGGATTATGAGAGCACCATTTGTGTGTGTGTGTGTGTGTGTGTGTGTGTGTGTGTGTGTGTGTGTGTGTGTGTGTGTGTGTGTGTGTGTGTATTCACCTAGTTATATTCACCTAGTTGTGTTTTGCGGGGGTTGAGCTTTGCTCTTTCGACCCGCCTCTCAACGGTCAATCAACTGTTTACTAACTACTTTTTTTTTCCACACCACACACACACTAGGAAGCAGCCCGTGACAGCTGACTAATTCCCAGGTACCTATTTACTGCTAGGTAACAGGGGCATTCAGGGTGAAAGAAACTTAGCCCATTTGTTTCTGTCTGGTGCGGGAATCGAACCCGCGCCATAGAATTATGAGTCCTGCGCGCTATCCACCAGGCAACCAGGCCCCCGTGTTTGCGTGTGCGCGTGTACGTGTGTGTGTGTGTGTGTGTGTGTGTGTGTGTGTGTGTGTGTGTGTGTACTAATACAGTATTGCTATCCTTTGGTAAAGTTAGTTACAACACTGTGTGTGCAGGCGTGGGCGTGGTTGGTCTAACGCCCATTGTGGGCGTGGTGGCCGGCGTGGTGTCTTCAGTGATGGTGACCTGCGTGGTGATGGTGTTGGTGGTGAGGTCACGGCGCCGACGCCTGCCACGCCCAGAGGTCAAGATGGTGTACGACAAGGGTGCCAGCAGCCCCTCACAGGTCAGAGGTCAACAGGCGCCCACCTTGGAGAATGAAGATCCAGACCTCATCCCTGTCAATCACGGTGAGTGAATCATGGTAGTCCCTTCATTCCTGTCAATCACGGTGAGTGAATCATGGTAGTCCCTTCACTCCTGTCAATCACGGTGAGTGAATCACGGTAGTCCCTTCATTCCTGTCAATCACGGTGAGTGAATCATGGTAGTCCCTTCACTCCTGTCAATCACGGTGAGTGAATCATGGTAGTCCCTTCATTCCTGTCAATCACGGTGAGTGAATCATGGTAGTCCCTTCATTCCTGTCAATCACGGTGTCAATCATTCACGGTAATCACTTCATTTATGATAACATCTCAATCACTACCAGTGTTACAAGTCTTAGGTATACTCTTAATACATATCTGTTCATCCAAATATATATCTTAACTCAGGTGCGTCCCTCCACTCGAGTATAACGGAAGTATACTACAAGTATACCTCGAGTGTGTTCTGGGAGTTCCTCTACTTCCCAAAGCCCCGGCCTGGGGGACGAGACTTGAAATGTGATCATTTGATCTAGAGGGCTGTTGTTTCAAGCGGCCGGCATGCCCCACATATCCTCTACAGCCTTCCCTCTGACCAACCATGTCAGTGTCACACCCCTGCCCTTCACCCTACACACTGGCTGCCTTCCCCTGCCCCCTCCACAATGAAGCAGATCAACCCTTCAGAGTGAAGGTCTTACCTATACACCTAGATTCACCTCACCCTTCATCACTGAATAGATTTTTAGCCAGAAAAATGGTAATAATTCTCAATAACATCAAACACTAATTAATAAATTACCATGGCAACAGGCCTGGCCCCACCCATGAGGAACATGTGATGATAAAGAACAATAAATGAGTGTGAGAAAGAATGAGGGAAATATGAAGAAGTGGGAGAGGAAACTTGGACCCAGAAGTCGCCACAGAAGTTAAACTAGATGGTGGAAAAGTTGAGAGACATTCTCACCAGAGGGTGGTACAGGTGGTCTGGAGGTATGGCACACATGACAGGGAGGTATGGCAACACATGACAGGGTGGAGGTGGGTGCTGGAGTATGGCAACACATGGCAGGGGAGGTGGGTGCTGGAGGTGGGTGCTGGAGGTATGGCAACACATGACAGGGTGGAGGTGGGTGCTGGAGGTATGGCAACACATGACAGGGTGGAGGTGGGTGCTGGAGGTATGGCAACACATGACAGGGTGGAGGTGGTGGGTGCTGGAGGTATGGCAACACATGGCAGGGTGGAGGTGGGTGCTGGAGGTATGGCAACACATGACAGGGTGGAGGTGGGTGCTGGAGGTATGGCAACACATGACAGGGTGGAGGTGGGTGCTGGAGGTATGGCAACACATGACAGGGAGGTGGTGGTAGTGGATGTTGTTGGTATGGCAACAGAGGAAAGCAGGGATATAACGGGCGCTGTAGTCATGGCAACAGAACACGCAGAGATATACTTAAGATCAAGATATACTCCGAGTGAAACTAAGGAAACTATGAACTCCAAGAAACACCGGAACGGGACAAAATGAAACGACGGTGGAAAGAAACATATTGGCAAACTTAAATGACAAACATTGGAAAAGACGGTGAAAAATATTAGAGTTTCTGGTACCACAACCAGGTCCGGCAACCAGGAGGCCTGGTCGACGACCGGGCCGCGGGGACGCTAAGCCCCGGAAGCACCTCAAGGTAACCTCAAGGTAAGGTAACCACTACTGTCCGGCCAGACGAAAGGCAATGTCAGCCACATCCCTGTCAGCTGACCGGACACAATTCCCGCCAAACACACACCGAAACTACGACGTTGGTACAACGTTCGAACAAGTTTTAACACCTCCTAACCAGTTATAACAACCAATATAACTAGTTGTAACAACGTTCTAATACGTCATAAACACGTTAAGCCAAGATTTAACAACTTTATTACAAGTTGTAACAAGCGGAAAATAAAGACAGTTTTGGTTTGTGTTTCCAGGGAACCTTGGCGGCTGGCCAGCCAAAAGTCAGCTGCTCCAAGACTAAATATCGTCACGAAGACCTGGGCGGTCAGAACTGATCAGCGTCTGAGACATAACTCATCACAGAACAAAATGTCGACAAGAGTTAAGATCTGATAGTGAGGGCCCCCCGAGGCGCTCGAGGCTATTCCGGTCTAATTACCAATCGTTACTGAAATGCCGATAATGGCTTGTTTCCTGACACCGATGGTGTCGAGCGCAGCGATTGTCGCCTATCTGCAGCGACAATTGTTCTAGAGCGAACTGATTGTCCCCTGTTTGCAGCGACAATTGTTCTAGAGCGAACTGATTGTCCCCTGTTTGCAGCGACAATTGTTCTAGAGCGAACTGATTGTCCCCCTGTTTGCAGCGACAATTGTTCTAGAGCGAGCTGATTGTTCCCCTGTTTGCAGCGACAATTGTTCTAGAGCGAGCTGATTGTTCCCCTGTTTGCAGCGACAATTGTTCTAGAGCGAGCTGATTGTTCCCCTGTTTGCAGCGACAATTGTTCTAGAGCGAGCTGATTGTTCCCCAGTTTGCAGCGACAATTGTTCTAGAGCGAGCTGATTGTTCCCCTGTTTACACCGACGATTGTTTGACTCAGCGAAACAATAGTGGATTATTCAGTGACCAATTTCGTGTAGCAAGTCGATAGATACGTGTCTTTAACATGTGTCATATCTATTCTGTCTATTTCCCCAGCATATCTGTCTATCTCTCAACTATTGAGAGATATGGCTGATATGCTTTTGTGATAAACGATTGAGAGATCGTCAAAAAAAAAGGCAAATCAACATTTCCTACCCTTACTGTGACCTTGATGATTGGCCAAGCTTGTCTTGCATCGAGTCAAGTCTACCTAATCATTTTATGACCAAACCACACATCAGAAAATGGAGAAACGACGTCGCCTCATCATCATCTGATGTATGATTTGGTCCTGTTATCATCATCCCCATTATTGCGACTCATCGTCTACATAATCATCTATTTACCCAAACATTCATATCCCGACGCAGATCAGCAGATGAAAGAGACAACGGGAGATTATATGGCCGAAGATCTACTTGAAGAACAACAACAGCAACAGCAACAGCAGCAGCAACACAGGCTTCAACAGCATGAACTTCAGCACCACGACCTGCAACATCATGATATGCAACTTCGCGGCCTGCAGCAACACAGCGGCGTGCAGGACAGCTTCGCTGACAGCGACCTGTCGACCGGCCGACCTGTCGACGGTGATCTTCAGAGCGACCTGCAGCAGGCCGACCCGATAGTTCAGCAGCCTTATGGAGCGTATTATATGAATCCAAGCAGACTGCTGCGGCAGGTAGGTGACTGTAATGTTGAAGTATCTTGGGGCTCTATTTTGTAGCCCGGGCTCTCTCTAACACAGTGGGGCTCTCTCTAACACAGTGGTGCTCTCTCTAACACCGTGGGGCTCTCTCTAACACAGTGGGGCTCTCTCTAACACCGTGGTGCTCTCTCTAACACCGTGGGGCTCTCTCTAACACCGTGGTGCTCTCTCTAACACCGTGGTGCTCTCTCTAACACCGTGGTGCTCTCTCTAACACCGTGGGGCTCTCTCTAACACCGTGGGGCTCTCTCTAACACCGTGGTGCTCTCTCTAACACAGTGGGGCTCTCTCTAACACAGTGGGGCTCTCTCTAACACAGTGGGATTCTCTGTAACACCATGGTGCTCTCTTTCTAATACCGTAGGGCTCTCTAAGCTGGTCGGCTTAGCCGACCAGCAATCAACAACCAGTTAACACATAATTACATTCTACGCACTTCAAGACCCCGAACCTAGACAGACAGTGGCACCATAAACTGTTTATGTTCATGCATGTAACAAGCCTATTAACATCCATTTTGTTTCATCCACTTGTTCATCTCAATCATGTCCTGTACCACCTCACCCCAAGAGAATATAAGCCTGTGCAAATGCATGGTAAATTTGTCTTTGAAAATGTAAGGAGTACCTTGCGAAACGCATCCACAGGCGTCAGACCATAATACAGTGTGAATATGAACTTTGGAGAGTTAATTTTTCAACTTCCATCGATAGTGAAGAAAAACATAAGAAATATTGAGAAGATTCGTGTTAGAATCAATAAGTCTTTAATCTTACCCTTTCGGTCATATATATATATATATATATATATATATATATATATATATATATATATATATATATATATATATAGTATATTTTGGTAGCAATCTTTCTTGTAAACATATGTTGTTAAATATGATCTTTGAAAATGTAATAAGGAATTACGAAACGCGTTTAGGCGTCAGACTAGGAATAAAAAGAATGAATTTTGGAGAGTTACTTTATCAATTACTCTCGACAGTGAAGAAGAACGAAAGAAATATTGAGAAGATTCGTGTTAGAACTATTAATCTTAAACACCTAACACAATATATATATATATATATATATATATATATATATATATATATATATATATATATATATATATATATATATATATATATATATATATATATATATATATATATATATATATATATATATATATATATATATATATATATATAAGTTTATTTAATAACAGGGAGGAGGAGGATGTTATTGCTTGTGTATATCAAACGATATTACAGTTGCTTATTGTGCTATATATAGTGTGGTGACAACTGGGGAATATTGGAGATAAAAGTGAATATTTCTGTATTTTCTTGACTGTGAAAGACTGCCGGAAGTCACGTGACACGATTAGTTCAACATTAACTAAGATATCATCTTAAGATGCGACAAGTTCAGAGCATTACCTAAGATGTCATCATGTAACTCAACAAGTCCAGCATCACTTAACCATCTTAAGATGCGACAAGTTCAGAGCATCAATTAAGATGTCATCATGTAACTCAACAAGTCCAGCATCACTTAACCATCTTAAGATGCGACAAGTTCAGAGCATCAATTAAGATGTCATCATGTAACTCAACAAGTCCAGCATCACTTAACCATCTTAAGATGCGACAAGTTCAGAGCATCAATTAAGATGTCATCATGTAACTCAACAAGTCCAGCATCACTTAATCATCTTAAGATGCGACAAGTTCAGAGCATCAATTAAGATGTCATCATGTAACTCAACAAGTCCAGCATCACTTAATCATCTTAAGATGCGACAGGTTCAGAGCATCACCTAAGATGTCATCATGTAACTCAACAAGTCCAGCATCACTTAACCAAAACTGATGAATGATAAACATTAAGAAATGATACACATAGCCATGAAGAACGGTGTATAAACCGTGTATCATACATTAGCCATCAAACATACAATTGAAAATATTTGTTTTTGTGTGTAATACAACGTAAACTGTAAACAATTTACGCTCATCTTGTAAATGATGTCATCAGTGTAGCAGTCCTCCAAGTCCAGATAACATTCAACATAGATTTTTACTTTAAGACTGACTATTAACTTTAAGACTTTATGTGAAAAACTTTATATATATATCAACAAAAGTTTCCAATGATTTTTTTTTCATGAAGCGAGGCAGAGTTTCAGGCTGAATATGGGCTGAAAAACCTTGTAGTGTTAAAATGAGGACCCGCAGGTATTTAAGCCCAGGTAATGAGGACCAACAGGTATATAAGCCCAGGTAATGAGGACCAACAGGTATATAAGCCCAGGTAATGAGGACCAACAGGTATATAAGCCCAGGTAATGAGGACCAACAGGTATATAAGCCCAGGTAATGAGGACCCGCAGGTATATAAGCCCAGGTAATGAGGACCCGCAGGTATATAAGCCCAGGTAATGAGGACCAACAGGTATATAAGCCCAGGTAATGAGGACCCGCAGGTATATAAGCCCAGGTAATGAGGACCCGCAGGTATATAAGCCCAGGTAATGAGGACCAACAGGTATATAAGCCCAGGTAATGAGGACCAACAGGTATATAAGCCCAGGTAATGAGGACCAACAGGTATATAAGCCCAGGTAATGAGGACCCGCAGGTATATAAGCCCAGGTAATGAGGACCAACAGGTATATAAGCCCAGGTAATGAGGACCAACAGGTATATAAGCCCAGGTAATGAGGACCCGCAGGTATATAAGCCCAGGTAATGAGGACCCGCAGGTATATAAGCCCAGGTAATGAGGACCAACAGGTATATAAGCCCAGGTAATGAGGACCCGCAGGTATATAAGCCCAGGTAATGAGGACCCGCAGGTATATAAGCCCAGGTAATGAGGACCAACAGGTATATAAGCCCAGGTAATGAGGACCAACAGGTATATAAGCCCAGGTAATGAGGACCAACAGGTATATAAGCCCAGGTAATGAGGACCCGCAGGTATGTAAGCCCAGGTAATGAGGACCAACAGGTATATAAGCCCAGGTAATGAGGACCAACAGGTATATAAGCCCAGGTAATGAGGACCCGCAGGTATATAAGCCCAGGTAATGAGGACCCGCAGGTATATAAGCCCAGGTAATGAGGACCAACAGGTATATAAGCCCAGGTAATGAGGACCAACAGGTATATAAGCCCAGGTAATGAGGACCAACAGGTATATAAGCCCAGGTAATGAGGACCAACAGGTATATAAGCCCAGGTAATGAGGACCAACAGGTATATAAGCCCAGGTAATGAGGACCAACAGGTATATAAGCCCAGGTAATGAGGACCAACAGGTATATAAGCCCAGGTAATGAGGACCAACAGGTATATAAGCCCAGGTAATGAGGACCAACAGGTATATAAGCCCAGGTAATGAGGACCAACAGGTATATAAGCCCAGGTAATGAGGACCAACAGGTATATAAGCCCAGGTAATTAGGATCTACGGGAATATAAGCCTTATCTAACTTTCTACGGGGAATTGGGACTGTATGGGAATCTGAAAGTACAGTTTTGACCGCCATGTCCCTCCTTAAGTAGGGTTGGCCCCTATTGCGACAACGAGAGATTAGTGCTCTTGTTATAACATTTTTGATTGCAGTGATCAGGACAGTGTGTAGTGTATATGGTTACAGTGATGAGGCGAGAGTGGGAAGGGGTGTGAGGGGTAACGTTTGGGCACAGGGTTGACCCAGGTACTGCCCGGTATGTCACAAAAGCCTCGCCCGGCTTTTCAAGATGACACTTGGGTAGTACAGGACTGTCATAGACAGGTTGGGGGCCAGTAACATTGCCTCCCTTTAAGAAGGAGCAGCTCCTATTGCGACTCTTATTAACTCATGCGACTTCAAAAATTGTGGTTTTGTTTTCCAGAGATTTTTAATTTAAAATTCTCTAAAATGGTGTCTTATTTATGCTGGTGTTTATATATTTTTAAACACATAACACATCGGGTGAAAAATTAAGCATTTCTTCTTTATTTTCATTTTTTAATTAAAATTTTCATTTATAATGGCTAAAAATCAAGTTTTTTTTTGCTAGAGTTCTGCCTCCATCAACATATGAGAGAGAGCAAAGCATTAATGTCAATCCAAAGTTGAGAAAGAATTTCATGAACATCAACTACTGTAAAAGAAATCAGATTCGAAAGTTGGAAATTCACTTGAAAAAAAAAGAACCCATTTCTGTCCTGTTTGAAGATTTGTTTGATATTGCTCATGCATCTGCGCTGAACATGATGACAGTAAAGGAGAATAAAGATTCTTTACCTGCTCAACGTGAGAAAGGGGAGGCGCAGACACCAAGTTTGCTCACAAGGAAAAGTGAAAATCTATAAGAATGGCTGAGCAAGCTTACAAGGGCGCACCGTGAACAGGAGATGCAAGAAGTAAACACATCTAAGGTGCTCCATTCACTTGGGCTGTATGGGTCTCGAACCCATCTACATCTAAGGTGCCCACTGATGCACCAACCTTCCCTTACAACAGAAGCTCTGAATCTACAGAAGAGTGTGAAATTGACAAGTATGAGAACACGTCTTGAAGAACTCCACTTTGTAAACACGAGAGAAGGAAAGGTGTTGAAGACACCATCTTTAAGTTCTGCTTTGGGCAGAAGGAGAAAGACGTGAGAGCAAGACTATGATGGTTGTAGCTTCCAGGAGTCTTGGGAATAATGTTCAGGAGTGATCAGTGCAACCAATTCGATCACAGGCAAATTAGGAGGAACTAATTGAGTAAGGAAATTCACCCGTTTTACATTTTTTTTGCTTGCTTGTCGCAACACCTTCTTTAAATTATGACTGGCGCTTTGTTCATGCTGTGAATTGGACCCTTTTGTGGACCAGATGTCTTGCTCATACAGTGGCTCAAGGGATCACTGGAATGGTCTGAATTTGGAACACAAATTCGTCTTTCCCCTAAAAGATGAATTTGTCCATATAGCCATTTCATGACACGAAGGCTGATGCCTGAATTGCATTCAGAAGCAACTCGCTGAAACTTAACCCAGAGACGATTCCCGAGAATTGTTGGAATAAACATTATGAATGTTTTGGGCACAATTCCTACAGGAGGAATTCAGTTCAAGGGCCCCAGGACCCATATACAGCGGACGCAGGATGTTGAAAGTCATTTACAGTCCGAAAGTTTGGCTGTTCAGAGACCAGTTGAAGCTCACTAGCAGATAACAGGAAGGTCTGCTGGAGATGGTCATCTTCTCCATTCAGTTTTACTTAAGAGCCTGGAAGAGAGCTCCTCTTGCAGCCTGTGTCCCAAACGATGACACAGTGCTCGTGAAGTCTCCTGTGCGACATGAAGAAAAGAAACCAAACTTTTTCGAAGGTAGCAGCATAAAAGTAGCTGGACTTCTGTGGTATATATATCAGAGGACTTGATTGGATTAGCTTTTTATTGCCACAAGAATATACCTACATCAGTGAAACGGCTAATGGCTCTCGCATTGCAAAAAGGAGGGCCATGAAAATCTTTCAAATCCTATCCAAGTTGACCTGCACAAATTTTCCGACATGTGAATTGGTAATTTATATTTTCAAAAGAGGAATTTCCTTGACAGTTTTTTGAGAGCAGATCCAGAGATATGTGAACAAGGAGCTGCTTGTAAAGCAGGTCGCCAGACTATGCCGGCCATGCAAGTGGTGATCGACCACGGCGACCCTGGAGTGGCCCTAATTCAGGAATTCAGCGGACCAAACACACATGATGAGGTCAACTAGAGTGTCCTCAGCATGTTGTGTAGGAATACAAGGAAACCTTACCTGAGAGGAACAAGTCGATCCTTACTAATACAAAAATCCCGACAAAGATGACCATATTCTGTTACAGGAGTCACAATAAATGTGACCACATCCTGCTGCAAGAACCACATCAAATGTGGCCACATCCTGCTGCAAGAACCACATCAAATGTGACCACATCCTGCTGCAAGAACCACATCAAATGTGGCCACATCCTGCTGCAAGAATCACATCAAATGTGGCCACATCCTGCTGCAAGAACCACATCAAATGTGGCCACATCCTGCTGCAAGAACCACATCAAACGTGGCCACATCCTGCTGCAAGAACCACATCAAATGTGGCCACATCCTGCTGCAAGAATAACATCAAATGTGGCCACATTCTGCTGCAAGAATCACATCAAATGTGACCACATCCTGCAGCAAGAATCACATCAAATGTGGCCACATCCTGCTGCAAGAACCACATGAAATGTGGCCACATCCTGCTGCAAGAACCACATGAAATGTGGCCACATCCTGCAGCAAGAACCACATCAAATGTGGCCACATCCTGCTGCAAGAATCACATGAAATGTGACCACATCCTGCTGCAGGAACCACATTAAATGTGGCCACATCCTGCTGCAGGAACCACATCAAATGTGGCCACATCCTGCAGCAAGAATCACATCAAATGTGGCCACATCCTGCTGCAAGAATCATAAAACAGGTGACACACGAGGTAAACCAGCTATGCTCTGAAAAAAAACGTTAGCAGTATCTCACACATGTAAACTAACTTGCCTCTCAATTAAAAAAAACACCTGCGTTACTCTGCCGTGAGGCATACCCAAGAGGCTGATGGAAGTATACTCCCACGAACATACACACAGAGAGAGAACTGACGCGGCCACACACACACACCCTGCTGAAGCTTCACCTGCCAAATGATTCCTGGAAACTCTTTTTACAATCCTGAATTTCAAATCAAGCTGTTATCATTGAAAACGAAGCAGATTAAAGCCAATAGAAGTTCAATACGGGGTTATCTTGAGGTTATCTTGAGATGATTTCGGGGCTTTAGTGTCCCCGCGGCCCGGTCCTCGACCAGGCCTCCACCCCCAGGAAGCAGCCCGTGACAGCTGACTAACACCCAGGTACCTATTTACTGCTAGGTAACAGGGGCATTCAGGGTGAAAGAAACTTTGCCCATTTGTTTCTGCCTCGTGCGGGAATCGAACCCGCGCCACAGAATTACGAGTCCTGCGCGCTATCCACCAGGCTACGAGGCCCCCATCAAAGGTCGGCAAAAATTCTGACAGCTTTGCTGAACTAATAGGTCAAGTAGCTCTCCAATCCTCAGGTGAACTACCTCAGCAAGACCAAAGGTGCGGCAATTGACTGGCCGTTCTAAATATCGAACAAAAATCTCACAGAGACTGAGTAATCGAACACATGTTCTCATGTGATCGAACACGTGTTCTCAGGTGTTCGAAAACATGTTCACAGGTCCCAGAAGGACCGTGATAAAGGACGATCAGGATGAAAATCATTAAGCTTGCACTATTGCAAGTTAAGAAAAGATGTTTATATCTCTCCGCTTCAATTAAGACTAACAAAATATTGCCCCGAATGGAAATAAATATTCATTCTCGGTCAGAGGGTGAGGTCTGGCAATGCTGATCAATACACTGAACCAGTCAAATACACTGGCCAATATACACTGGACCAGGCAAATACACTGGCCAATATACACTGGACCAGGCAAATACACTGGCCAATATACACTGGACCAGGCAAATACACTGGCCAATATACACTTGATCAGGCAAATACACTGTCCAATATACACTGGACCAGGCAAATACACTGGCCAATATACACTGGACCAGGCAAATACACTGTCCAATATACACTGGACCAGGCAAATACACTGGCCAATATACACTGGACCAGGCAAATACACTGGCCAATATACACTGGACCAGGCAAATACACTGGCCAATATGCACTGGACCAGGCAAATACACTGGCCAATACAAGCGACCAGACAAAACCACTGACCAATCCACATCAAAAACCCCCTCCAACCAGGCATCAAGTTACTTGCTATCATATACATTATTCACGTGAAATAAGTCAAGGCTGAAGGCGCTTACTCTTCCCGCGGTAATCCGATAATCAATAGAGCGCCCATTGGGGCTTTAACCTTCACCCGCGGTGGACTTGGCACTGTGTTACTCTCGACACCTTCACAGGTGTTTAAAGTCTCGCCAGGGGTGAACTTGACGCTATATATATCGCCACTCACAGGACTTTCACAGATGTTTAAAGCCAAACTAGTGTTGGGTATGACGGTATAATATTTCCACCCCCTCGGGGTGTTAACAGGTGTTAAAGACTCAGGTGATCGTGACACTAAGTTAACACCTCCCTCGGGGTGTTAACAGGTGTTAAAGACTCAGGTGATCGTGACACTAAGTTAACACCTCCCTCGGGGTGTTTACAGGTGTTTAAAAACTCACCTGTGAACTAATTTCACAGGCGAGTCTGAAACATTATTTTGAATCAGTGTTTAATGACTAATTTTAACATATATATTATTATTATTATATTATAATTATCTCCAATTATATTAATTGTTCAAGACATATCTTGAACAATTTTAACATTAACAACAATGACAATAATAATAATAATAACAATAATAATATTTAAAATATGATTCATATATTTTTATTATAATTTTTAGTTGTTGATACAATAATAATATTATGTGTTTGTTGGACTTTTTTTTAAACATATAGATACAAGTCCTGTTGTGTTCTGAGGTGCAAGAGTAACCTCGGAAAGGTGGAACTGTTTGGACTTCACTCTGGTGCTGTTGTGGTGCACTCCAGATGTACATGTGTGCTTCACTCTGGTGCTGCTGTGTTGCACTCCAGATGTACATGTGTGCTTCACTCTAGTGCTGTTCTGTTGCACTCCAGATGTACATGTGTGCTTCACTCTGGTGCTGTTGTGGTGCACTCCAGATGTACATGTGTGCTTCACTCTGGTGCTGCTGTGTTGCACTCCAGATGTACATGTGTGCTTCACTCTGGTGCTGCTGTGTTGCACTCCAGATGTACATGTGTGCTTCACTCTGGTGCTGTTGTGTTGCACTCCAGATGTACATGTGTGCTTCACTCTGGTGCTGTTGTGGTGCACTCCAGATGTACATGTGTGCTTCACTCTGGTGCTGTTGTGTCGCACTCCAGATGTATATATGTGCTTCGGGGCACACCCCGTGCCATCTAACCCATGTGTTTTCTCCAGGCCTCACTACCTACGAGGGAGAACGACCCCCTGTTGCTCCTGGGCCACACCATGGGTGCCGCCGCCACACCTGCAGGCTGCACCTCTCCCCCTGGGGGCTATCCTCCACACCTGTCCTCCAGCCACACCCTATCATCCTATTCCCATGATATGTCTTCCGCCCCCAAATCCCCTTCATACCCGCACGATATATCCGCTGTTCATACGCCTTTATCATACCACCGCGACGCGCGCTTCCCTTCTAGCATGTCGGCCTTCCCGAGGGAGGAGTGTCTGCTCCCGAGGGAGGAGAGTCTGCTCCCGAGGGAAGACAGTCTGCTCCCTCATCCCTACAGCCACCACCACTCCACCACTACCCTCCCAAAGTCCTATTCGAGGGATCTTGTCCCATTATCCTACGCTCAAGGGATCCCATCTCGCGCCTTCGCCCATCATCGTCTGAGTCTCGGCAGGAGCGATATGTTGTCGTTGGAGCGGGTGTCGCCGGCCTTGTCGTCTAACCGACGTGGGTCGACGTCTATTGTCACCCCAGAGAGAGAATCGCCACTCGGCCCGCTGATCGGTCCTCTCTGTAGGGCTGACGACATTGACTCAAGCCAGCGAGAGAGCTCGGTATAGTCCTGAACAAGGGCGGCTCCCCCTCCCACGCACCATGAGTCTAAGGTGAGTACAGACCAACGCACTTCTATCGTAACTCACTACAACTCACTACATTAGGAACGGATGGCACTCGAAAGCTTCCACCATTTCGGTCCAACATCATTCCAGTCGTCCTCATGAATATTTTAATCCACACCAACCCGATGAAAACGGGCTGCAGGTTCATGGAGTTTGCACAAATGAATTTCAAGCAAGGTGGCAGAACTTGGGAGACTGAAGCGAGCAGTTTTCCAGCTCATCATTATTGAGTAGAGGCAAGATCAGGAGGGTGAGAGAGAGAGAGAGAGAGAGAGAGAGAGAGAGAGAGAGAGAGAGAGAGAGAGAGAGAGAGAGAGAGAGAGAGAGAGAGAGAGAGAGAGAGAGAGAGAGAGAGAGAGAGAGAGAGAGAGATGGCTCAGAGTCTGAAATGTAGTTTAAAATGTATACAATTTCTCGTGTCTCATACTTTACATTAAACTGCTTAGCATGCAACTTAAATCGTTAAAAATTGATGTCCATTAGACAACAATGTTAATTTAAGGCTTCGAATCTGAATTTGAACTCAATCAAGGCTCATGATTTAAATTGAATTGATTCAAGGATCTTGATATGAATTTTGAGTTAACCTCACAATGTTACTCAGTCAATAACCTGCCTATATTGCTATATTTTTTATAGAGTGAAGTTAAAGTCACCTTGATCGTTGGTGTCAACAGCAGTCTCGAGTGATGACCTGTTTCAACAGCTTCCAGAGGTCAGCAGCTTTAGCAGCGTCCAGGGACAGGCTGTCACAACAATTTCGAGAAACCAACAGCTTGGATGAGCAGTTAAATTAATCTCCAAGGACCAAAGAGCTCAGTTGAATCCCTAAGGTGTAACAGCTTTCTCAGTTGAGAAGTTTGAGCAGCTGCCATGAACCAGGGACTACAGCAGTCAACAGCTGATGCAGTAATCACCAGGACTAAGCAGCTGCAGCAGTTAATTGGGCCCAACAGCCCTAGGATCAAGTAGATGCGTCTGCTGCACGAGGCTTCAAGAACCAGCAGACACAGCAGTCTTCAAAGCCAACAGCTGCGGAAATCTGCGCAAACGAGCAGCTGCAAAAGCTTTCACGGAAGAACATCTCTTGCAGTTTCCATGGGTTATCTCCAGCAGACGTCAGCTACAAAGGCATCCAGAGGTTACAAGCTTTCCAGTTGCTCCATCAAATCTAGGATCCTGCAGCTTCAGCAGCTTCACAAGATCCGTAGCAACAGCAGATTTCAGAGACTAGCAGCTGCAGTGGTTAACAGGGATCAGCAGCTGCTGCATTCAATTGTGATCAGCAGTCTGCAGTTACCAGCGACATCTTCAGCAGTCTACAGTGATCAGCAATTGTAGTAAACTGCAGTGATCTGCAACTACAACAGTCTCCAGAGAGCATCAACTACAGCAGCCTCAAGACCCAACGAGCTGTAGCATCATGCTGACTCCAGACTCTACAGCATCCTTCATTACAATATATTATCCTCATCCCAAGGGAAAAGGAAGCATCCTGCCCCCCAGCTCATCACCCCCCAGAACTCCTAACGTGAACACGTTTAATGGCCGGCTTGGGTGACTACCCGTCTCTTGGTAAACTGTCTCTTTGTACCCGTCTCAAAGTAGACTGTCTCCTGGTACCCGTCTTAAGCTAGACAGTCTCCTGGTACCCGTCTCAAGGCTACTGTAGAAACAGGTGAAGACGTCAGTAACCTTGTCGACACACTCTGGGATCCTACCCATTAACAAACCATTGGCTTTGAACGTTCCCTTCAGTATATTAGCGATGGATAAATACAGAGAAATATTTTAAGTACGCGTAGAAAACGACCATTAATACTATTTTGTACCCGAACAGACAGGTTAAACGGGATGTTCCATGAACATGTTGTGAAATTGTGGAAATATTTCTTGGGAAATGTAACCTCCTCATAATGAGGAAATAAGCTTGGTGGTAACGAGGGGAGCTAATGAGTAGCTCCTGAGGGGAGAGAGGTGTAGTTGAGATTGATCAGGTTGATGCACTTTTCTTAAGGATTGACGGATTGTCTACTGTTGCTTGGCGATTGTTCCAGCTGACAGGTTGCGTCTGTCACTGTTGTTCCTACTGTCTGTTTTCTATGTAATTTTTCCTCTATTACTCATCCTGTCTCTGTCTTTCTCTCCTCTATTACACAGTAATTGTCTGCTCTTCAAATACAAACAGATGTAGTAAAAGCTGTTTAATTATCCCATTTTTAGCGAGAGAGAGAGAGAGAGAGAGAGAGAGAGAGAGAGAGAGAGAGAGAGAGAGAGAGAGAGAGAGAGAGAGAGAGAGAGAGAGAGAGAGAGAGAGAGAGAGAGAGAGAGAGAGAATTATCAGGGGAACGCGCCAAGCCCTTACGACTATATAGCACTTAAAGAACTAGGAACTAAGAAGATTTGAAAGAACTAAGGAATTGGGATAGGACGGAGCCGAAGGAATGGTACCCAGCCACTTGGAAGGTCGGGGATTGAGCGCCGACCTCCATGAAGCGAGGCCGTCGCTCTACCGTCCAGCCCAAGTGGTTGGGCCATTTTTAGCGAATATGACCATAAAATCTTGTTCCTAGGACGCTAACAACACACAGGAAAATATAACATTTTCCTGAAAGAGTTAAGTGTTCCTTAATTCCTCTGATTTGGCGTAGAAACCTTTCTTAAGTATCATCACATTATACAAACCAGTGAACCTTTATCACTGTAGTGTTCAATTTTCAATACAGAAACTGTTTACCATGAAACGACGAACTGCACGTTTACAAGACACCTACGAAACCAGTACATCTTTCACTGATCATTTCAGCTTTATTTACAATTAATAAACAGTTAACGATCTTCAGAAACTTCATTAATGCTTTAAACAACCTCATTGTACTTCAGTACTCAAAAACTGCTTAATAAATGTAAAAAAAAAACACCATTATTGAGAAAATAAAAACAGGTTTATTAAGTGGATTTTGCATATGCTTGATAAATGCCAAACTTGCATATTCAAGAGCAAGGAGTGCCCTGGATCACTACACAGGCACCCAGTCACTGTGAAAAATATGCATGATATTATTCCCGCTCTATTTCCTTTGCTTTGACTCGCCAATTATTCTTAGAAAAACAAGAAACAAAAGAGAATACTGAGGAGAACAGTTGTGAACACACATGAAACCGTGTTCAATGCTACGTAGCTGTGAACATTGCTTTATAGCAGTGTTCACTACCTCACACTACCAGGTCTTATTGTCCCGAAGCAGCATAAATTGTTATTTCAACAGCATACGTTATCATGTGTCAGTATACACATTCACTAGGTGTTATTCATTATCTGGAAACAGTGTACATTATCTGGAAGCATCGTACTTCATCATGAAGCAGCATACATTATCATAAAGCATTAATATGAATGAAAAAAACATTTTGGGGTAGTGGGGGTGACTTGAACCAGCGTTCTGGTGATTCCCAGACACCTGCCTAAAGTCCTTCCGCCCCCCTAGACTGATCACTGAAATGAAATCGCCATTGTGTTATCCTTGCCTAACCGTCTTTAAGGCTAACCTTAAGTACAGTTGACAGAACGTCTGCCTCCCTCGAGGCTTCAAGTGCCAATGTGAATTATATATATATATATATATATATATATATATATATATATATATATATATATATATATATATATATATATATATATATATATATATATATATATATATATATGACAATGTCAGACCACGGAGGAAAAATGAAACAGGAAATTTCCTTAAGTACTTTCGTATATTAAATACATCTTCAGAAGGTCATTTTACAGATCGATTTTACACACACACATATATATATATATATATATATATATATATATATATATATATATATATACATATATATATATATATATATATATATATATATATATGCGAACAAGCCTGAATGGTCCCCAGGACATATGCAACTGAAAACTCACACCCCAGAAGTGACTCGAACCCATACTCCCAGAAGCAACGCATCTGGTATGTACAAGACGCCTTAATCCACTTGACCATCACGACCGGACATAATGAGGTGATAGCCGAGGCTATTTGAACCACCCCACCGCCGGCACTCGGATAGTTATCTTGGGCATAGCATTTTACCAAATCACCTCATTCTTTGGGGCAACACGTGAGGAACACAAATGCGAACAAGCCTGAATGGTCCCCAGGACATATTATGTCCTGGGGACCATTCAGGCTTGTTCGCATTTGTGTTCCTCACGTGTTGCCCCAAAGAATGAGGTGATTTGGTAAAATGCTATGCCCAAGATAACTATCCGAGTGCCGGCGGTGGGGTGGTTCAAATAGCCTCGGCTATCACCTCATTATGTCCGGTCGTGATGGTCAAGTGGATTAAGGCGTCTTGTACATACCAGATGCGTTGCTTCTGGGAGTATGGGTTCGAGTCACTTCTGGGGTGTGAGTTTTCAGTTGCATATGTCCTGGGGACCATTCAGGCTTGTTCGCATTTGTGTTCCTCACGTGTTGCCCCAAAGAATGAGGTGATTTGGTAAAATGCTATGCCCAAGATAACTATCCGAGTGCCGGCGGTGGGGTGGTTCAAATAGCCTCGGCTATCACCTCATTATGTCCGGTCGTGATGGTCAAGTGGATTAAGGCGTCTTGTACATACCAGATGCGTTGCTTCTGGGAGTATGGGTTCGAGTCACTTCTGGGGTGTGAGTTTTCAGTTATATATATATATATATATATATATATATATATATATATATATATATATATATATATATATATATATATATATATATATATATATATATATATATATATATATATATAAAAGTTTGTGAGGGTACCACCTCTGGTGCCAATGTGGGGACCCATAGCCTCGGAGAAGAAAATAAAAAGTATTCAGAGGAGACCTTGTGGTTTCTCACTGAACACTAATATTATCTTCTCCTACCACCCCCATTCTTTTGTATGTACACATATATATTTACTTTATTTGAACTTTGTTACAAAAAAGGAGTTACATATGGGTTACAAAGATGGTTGTCATAGGTTGTCGAGTTCCTCCAGCTCCTCAGATGGCGGGCAGGAACCCTGGATGCAGTGCGCATTTCCCCTCTGTATCGCCACACTGAGGCGCTGGAAAAGAAAGCTTGCAGCTCTTGGGTCCCTTGTTGTTTCAATGAGCCTAGAACCCAGTTCCTTCAAAAAACTGGTAGCACTTTTACCCCAGGCGCCGAGTGTCTCAGAAGCAATGGGGACAAAATTGTAGTGGTGATCCAGTTCACTATACTTAAGGGATTTGGCTGCTTCCCTGTGGGTGGCAGCGCCACCTGGTTGTGCAACACTGAGGTTAATGTAGGTGTTAGCCAGGGTTGATACGCACGTGTAGTCCCATACCAACTGCTTGCCATTCTTCCAGGGGTTCACTGTGATACCATCTGGGCGACCAATAAGAGCATCAGAGTTACGGGGCGTTAGGTAACGGGGCTCTCTTTCAGCTGGGCATCCAGCTGTGGTGAGGCTCCTCTTGATGATGTCGTTAACTTCAATGTGCCTCGAGTGTTATCCTGTGCTTTGGCAGAGTAGGCCATGGTGGCCGTACCTGTTAGCCACCACCTCGCCGCAAATACACCTATATCTGGTGTGGATTGGGGCAGCAAGGCGGAGGGCCACAGCAATTCGGAGGGCGTGTGGTGTGAGACGCGTGCCAGTTGCCGACATTGGGGTTGCTAACAGGAAATCCCCTGCATGTGGTGCTGCTACTGCTGTGAGGCGAGCATATATATATATGCTAATATATATGCTAATATATATATAAATATATATATATATATATATATATATATATATATATATATATATATATATATATATATATATTTATATATATATAAATTAGGTTTCCTCACTAATGTACCAGTGCAATGAACTATCAACAAAATACTGGTTTACAACACAAAGATTCGTCAAATCATTTATTATAAGAACAGCTTCGTACAGCTTCCTTCATTATGAGAGATAACATTTCTACCTCCCCTGACAAACTGAATTAGTGTACTAATGATGTACATGAATACAAATGCAATTCTAGAAACAGTGGGCTCCGAAATGTATGCTGTATTGGACACATACCTAATACTATGAGTAGGCATCTTGCACTTCATTTGCATGTGGGAGGCGTTCAGCAACACCACCATCGACACCACAATACCATCGTGAAGTGCAAGAACATATTGGACAAAGTTATCATCGCGTGCAACATTTATTGAAGGAGACTCTGTACATTCGAGGCCACATTCATTCGAGAGTTGGTTCCAATATTTAACATTGGCACTCAAGTGAATTTTATGTCATTCTATTGTGTGATGGCCCTCCTTTCACCTTGAGGGAAGCTATCAATTCCATAGACAATCATTAACTGAAGTTACATGGTAATCCCCTGACTACGGATTACTTCTTCGCCACTCTCTACGATGAATTACTAGTCAATTGAAGGGTAAGGTGAACCTACAATTATATGTGTGTGTTTTTGCATATACTCCAAAAGTAACAGCTCAGAGAAAAGTAACAGCACCGCTCCTGTGCCAGGTAAGTCCACTACGGGCTCACCATAGCCCGTGCTACTTGCCCCGATCCTGTGTCAAGTAAGTCCACTGCGGGGTCACCATAGCCCGCGCTACTTGCCCCGCTCCTGTGCCAGGTAAGTCCACTACGGGCTCACCATAGCCCGTGCTACTTGCCCCGATCCTGTGTCAAGTAAGTCCACTACGGACTCACCATAGCCCGTGCTACTTGCCCCGCTCTTGTGCCAAGTAAGACCACTACGGGCTCACCATAGCCCGTGCTACTTGCCCCGCTCCTGTGCCAGGTAAGTCCACTACGGGCTCACCATAGCCCGTGCTACTTGCCCCGCTCCTGTACCAGGTAAGTCCACTACGGGCTCACCATAGCCCGTGCTACTTGCCCCGCTCCTGTGCTAGGTAAGTCCACTACGGGCTCACCATAGCCCGTGCTACTTGCCCCGCTCCTGTGCTAGGTAAGTCCACTACGGGCTCACCATAGCCCGTGCTACTTGCCCCGCTCCTGTGCTAGGTAAGTCCACTACGGGCTCACCATAGCCCGTGCTACTTGGAGATGTTTGTTCCGAGCAGTTGAACAACAACAGTAGCAGCCTATAATCTCAG